GGCTGGCGACGTGAGAAAAAGGAGCCATCGATGGACATTGTGGAGTGAGCCCAGGATCAACCATACCGTTCTTTTCGGACGGTTTTCATCCCAAAACAAAAGGTGAAACTAATGCCCTCAAACCTTCATGGGCAACTTTGCCGTGCCGGGCTTGCATCCCGGAGAATTGGCCTCACTCCCTGAATTCAATAATTTGAGTAACTTTTCATGAAAACTATTTGGTGGCAAAATAAACCATTTGGTCGCAAATTAACGATTGGACACTTGCTGGCCAACGCACCAAAGTGCCTGACTTTTTTGGAGGCTGGATCTTGGAAGGGGTTCTCAGAAGGGTTCTGAGAACCCTTCTTGTGGCTAGGGTGTCCCTATGATTTGGCAAATTCCTTCCATAACTTCCTCGCGATTCTCAAATTGTGCGGCGCCCCGCACGCCTATTGCCCATTTTAGTAGGGCTACCTGGCTTAATTCTGAATTGGGGCTATAGTAAAGCCTATGTAAACCTTTCTCGCCATATTAGTAGAACCAACAGTCGACTGATTTTGGGCAGGCAGCATGAAACCTGACAAGGGGCCTACCACGCATGACTTGGGTTCCATGGTATTTTGCAGGAGTGCGCCCAACCCTTGTCTCCTACTGGATTGCATTGAGGTGCCCTTTGAGTCCTCGACACAAACGGGACCGTTCAGCTGTTCAGCTGGGTTGGCAGACATGTCCCAAAGACTTCAGGGCCTCGTTTTCTAACCGCACCTGTGTTTGATGCCCCCTCGCTTTACGCTTCGAGATTTCGAGATGGGCTTCAAGAAAGACAATCGCCTGTGCGCAGAGGCCGCGGAGCATGTGTGTGTGTTTGTTTGGTCTGCTTGAGTAATCCGGAAACAATGAATGTGCAGAAGGGCAAGCCCCGATCTATCCCAGTTTTTGCTCACCCAACAGCGTACTTTGACTGCCCATATTTAGGGAACAAAAACATGGCAACGTAGTTCGCTCATTGTGAGAGCTACAGCGGATGCCCTGAATAATGCAAATGGCGAAGCGTGTTTTTTCTAGGTTCGGCAGGAAATTCCGGTGGTCCTTTTCGGGCAACACAATGCTGTATGCAATCAACATCCCCAGCATCATTGTTGACGTCTGTTCTAGGCTGGGTTGAGGCTTGGTGTTTGGCCCTGCTGCTCCCTGTGGAACATGCCCCGCAGCTGCTGCCCTCAAGGAAATTGGTCAGGTGGTTGAAGGAACGGGTTGGTGGGCTGATGGTGGCACTTTAGGGTCCTCTTGTTTCCCTGAACTCTTCAAATCCAAGGGTGTTAAGGGTGTTGACTACGCTGGGGAGGAGGTCAGAGTTGCTCAGGTGGTTCGGGCGTCCACTGTTTTTTGGATGAGATCGCCAGGGCACACGGACAAGGCTGAGTTCCCCAAGGTCGCAGCTTCCTGCGTCAGTCAAAGCTCCGTATCTGGTTCCCCCGTTCGGACCCATGTCTCCCAAGCTTGGGTATGCCGAAGACACCAAAAAGGGCCGAGGCCGAGCACCTTTCTGACATGACATGGTGCTTGAAAGCAACTTGCAAATTCGTCCGTTCCCCGCCAGAAATCAAAATTGGATCCCCAACACAACAAGAAGGGTATGAGCTGGTTTTACCCCCCCTTTCTCCCCAATAGGTCAGCAATCATCTTGATCAACCACGGGGCTGCGTAAATTTCCCAATTGAACATCACCCGACCAAAAGAAGACTCATTGTAAATTGGACCAAAAGGCTGTCTTCTTGAAGCCACATGGGAACCCTGATCTCGCCACTTCCGCTCCTGCCAAGACCTCCTCGCGCTGAAGAGTCCCACTCCTCAAGGCAGATCATTGACTTCCCGCGTCTGTCACATCTTGAAGGCACCTTTTTCCGCTTGCTTTGAATGAAGAAGAGAAAATATGCATGTCTTGGCCAAGTTCCCTTTCTCCTTTCCGCGGACTTCCGAGTCAGAGGCGGCCGGTTGGCGTCCTCTAGGGGAATGACTGAGGGGCTAATCCCCACAAATCAGTGTAGCCCACGATGGGCAAGAGATCTGTGTCAGGAGTCAAGACCGCTAGTGCCAAAATGACTCACATGCAACACCATGCAAGCCGAATCACCCCGGGGGCGCGGCAGCCATCAAATTCAATGCTCCTCGTTCCGCGCAGAGACGAAACGGGCCTGGTAAAGCTATATCTTGCGGATAGGAACCGCCAGAAAGTGCAAAGGTAGCCCTTGGTTCAAGCCCCCGGCTCATACATCTGATCTCTTAACCGGCGCAGGCAAACCAGAGTCCAGATGCAAAGATAACAGGCACAAGGCACGCGGTGCAGCATCAAGCCATGATCTCGCTTCGCATTGCTCCGCACAACTCCGCCTGATACAAGCGGCCCCTTTGTCTCGTAACCAGCATCTGGACCGATCGTATCTCTACGCGGAGATTGGCAATCGCCATACAGAGAAGAAAATAATCTGGCTTCTCTCTACATGTTATCCATCCTGTCGGATGAGACAACCCGAAAGACTGGATTTGGAATTCGGTGAGACGCCAAAGTTTCAAGCCACTTGCAAAGCACACCCTGTAAAGATCATGACCAAGATTCCATGAGCAAGGAATGTTCGCACCGGTTGCCGTGAAGGCCCTAGCTTTGGGTATTTCCAAAGCTCAACGGAGGATCTTGTTGGAAAACAGATGTCGAAAGGAAGACATATGACACGCTTTCTTCTCTCCCTCCCTCCCTCCCTCCCTCCAATTATTGGGTGAGCAACTCCAGGGGTCTGGGCCTGCAAGTGGCTTCCATTGCAAACCATCCAAAAGGAACCAGTTGTCCATTGGAAAAGAATAAGGGAGCCCTTTAAAACATGGCGGGTTCCTTAAACCATAAACCAAAAGTTCCCTTCTTCCGGAAACAACTGAACCTTCTGGTTTCCCCATTCGACGTGTCGCCGCGCAACCGCGCGAAAGAAACTGCCCAACGCCAGGCTTCGGAGGAGGCAGTGCTGAACCCGGAAGCTCAAGGGGAAGAGCCAGGCCATGAGAAAGCAGCCCACCGCCATCTCGGATGGACCCAGTGGCTCTTTTTGTCCCTCTTTGACTCACCTCCCAAAAAGCTGAAAAGGGACTCTTGCTAGGCCTCCATCCTCAAACCTTCCCAAAGCTGGTGTAGATGATGCGTCCCTCCAAAATAACTTCCTAACTGAAAAGGGGCCGTTGGGGGCCCCCTGTGCTTTGTCAACCCGTGCCCTGTGGATTCCAGCCACGAAAACGGGAATCAACCTGCATCCAAATGGAACCACTGGGTCACCTACCTCTTGGTTTTGGGGTAAGAACCGATTGGATGTCTGAAAACGAAGGGCTCGCAAAGAACTTGAGACTTGAGACTCAGCTTGACCCACCCCCAAAACGAGGTTTCTGGCTTCTTTTGCCTTTGGGGAGCTGTCGCAGGAGTCCGAACGGCGCGAGGCTAGAAAGCCACCTCTTCAGGGGCCAAACGCCACGCTGGCTAGGGCTGGGAGGTTGAGATTTCCCCAGGCGAGCGAAATGTCTTCCGGGGGGCAAAGTTCACCACCGGGCCGTTGATGATCCACTCCATGAAGAGGAAGAAGCCGGCACCATCTCTGAACTGGAAGCCTAATCCTCAGGTCTGTTGCCAAAGCATTCTGCTTCGTTGACTCCCCGAAAGCAAAACACGTCCAGTGGGATATACAACAAGCCCTCGAACCCAAAAGTTGGGAACCGTACTGCCAGCCGCCAAGAAACCAAAGAACCCCTTTTTGTACGAGGTACACCTACACTGAGATGCTTTGATTATCTTTGATTCTGTTTCATATGTTCTCAACCTTAGCCGGATGTGTTGTGGTCTCCACGTGAGCAATTCCGGTGGTACTCGGGGGGAATTGAGTGGCCCCAACTTTGATGGCCCGGGCATACCATCGGCTATATGTTCTCAACCAGAAAGCAGAACATTTGTTCGAGACCTTGGTGGGGAACAGACACCTGGAGCGGACGGTTCCCTTGAGGCACAAACAACTGTCCGCTCATGTCACGTGTCACCACTTTCCCCGTGCTTGGGACTGAGTTAAATTCTATAGGGAACCGGAGATCTTCACTTTAGGTTTCAAATGCTTGCAGAACACCTCGCAGCACTCCTTCTGTGTGGTCCATTCTGGTTGCAACCAGGGGTCAAAGCTCGCACGATAAAAGTGGATGGCCCTCATAAACCTTTCAAACACCATTTGCCACCCGGGTCGACACAAACATGTCAACCCGAGTCGTTCGCCCATTTCAAACTCACCAAAGGCGATCAAACAACATCCAAGCTAGTTGCCAGCGAAGGAGAGATTGGCCTGAAGAAGCTCTAGCCACGAGTGCTCTTCTGCTGGGTGACCCTATGCATTGAATTCCAGAAGGCCAAAACGGTGTTTCGGTCACACTAATGGCTTCGGTGTAAACCAAGCGATCCCCCAACTGACACGGGAACTTCCCCCAACTGACACGGGAACTTGGCCCATGTCCTAATGCTAATTTGGGGCGTGTGCTCCATGCCATCCCCTTTACAGTAGCGGCATGTCCTTTTCTTTTTTGAGCGTGCCCCTTTTTGTGGTGTAAAGGGAAACCAAAAGGGAAAAAACGTTGGGCCATTTTTCGGGGGGGGGGTCCAAATCCTACCCATGTTCGACTGAAAAGGGTAGCTAGTTCACCAACGATTCGCAGAATTCGTAGGGCCAACCTGCTGGGTCCAGAGAGACACCCCCAAAACCTGCACCTACGGTATGCTACCCAAAGTGCTATGGGGGATGTGTTCTCATTGTTTGCTGGGTTTTGCTTTGGAGAACTCTGCACCTTGAGGTTCCAAGTGGTTCTCGAAAAGGTTCGTCATTTTCTAGGAAGTGGACTTTCAAAATGGAGCTCCGCAACGGTTTTCCCTTTTAACTCCCTTCAAAACCACGCAAAGGGGTTGAAAACAAAACACACCGTCACTGGGCTCAAGCGGGGCCGGGGGCTCACGAGCTGATGGCCGAGTCACCCCAAAAGGTGAAGACCCCCAAAGTCTGTGAGTCAATCTCTCGCCCGCTCGGCCTCGGGTTGGTCTGGAGAATGGGAGAGAGGGGTGCGCTCGCTTAAGAAAAATCCTGGAAAAAGAACAACGCCGAAGAAGAGGTGTGCCTTCAAAGGCCACGAGGAAAAATCGCGAAATGCCCGAAGCGGAAATAAGGGAGCTCCTGAGTGAAGGACCTTGAGTGAGCTTTAAATAGCACAGCATTTGACCCCCGATCCCGGAAAACCTCACATCCGACCTTACCCCTGTCACAATTCTGCGCAGGGGCCACGCAAAATGACATACGACCATAAATTAAGGTCAGTCGCGGCCAATAGGGTCACTTGCGACCGTAAATTAGGGTCACTTGCGACCAGGCGGTTCTGTCCTTTTTGTAAGCGCAAGAGGGGGGAAAGGGGGGTGGGGTGGGGGGCATCATAAGCACACCCACTCAACTGATTCAGCCCAGCCTGCTCTTTAACGCGCATTTCCTTCCCGCTCATTGGCTCCATGATCAAAACGAGATATATGGGGATCGTCATGGACACCCAACCCATTACACCCTATTGAGTACGTCTACTAATTAAAATGTCGAAGACACAGAGTTCCACATGGGGGGGTCTGTTTAGGGAAGCCCCCACTTGGTTTTCCTTTTGGTTAAAACCACCAAAAAGTACGCTCGAAAAAGTTCAGCATGCCCACTAGGCTCCCGCAAAGACGGCCGGGAATTGCTGTTTTTTCCACGGGGAGATCACTTCCACGTCACGTTTGACCCTACCCCAGCATAGGTAGGGTCACAGACGACCGAAATTGAGGCAAATGCGACTGGTTTGCCTTCCCACGTGCAATGTCTGGCCCGAAGCTGAAAATTACCCGAGCCGCTCAAGACAAGGGCGCCGTTGAAGAATCAGTTGGGGTCCTTCAAAAGGCACCTGAAAGAGGCGCTGGAGCCATTCTAGTCTCACTTGAACCGAGAAAAATAACTGAACTTTTGGTTGGCCACAAAAGACATCTTCCCAAACAGCAGAGAACAGGTGCTTCACTCTTAAAACGCTGGCTTCCGTTGGCGTTTGGCTCCGAAACGACGTCCAGTCCCTCAACCGGAGGCCCGGCTTGTAGACCATGGCCATCTCCATGGACACGTAGGGCAGCGTCTGCGTGGCGATGAGCCGCAGGCACAAAGAGATGAACATCAGGAAGCTCACTACCTGAAAAGGGCTCGGTTTTTTTTGAGACCTCCCAAAATGGCGCAACGTTTTTTTCCTTTTGGTTTCCCTTTAAGACCACTCAAAAAGGGGTCCCTCAAAAAAACAACTCCCGAATTGGGAGAAATGTCAGAAAATTGGATGCTTGGAACATATGAGTGGTTTCATTGGAGAAAAACGGTTTTGTGCCTGCTGGAGAGCAAAAAAAATGTTCCAACAAATGGAAGCTGTCGATCGGAGGGTTTGGAAGACTTGTCCAACCCGAAAGCTGACAGAAGAGCTTTGGAAGACGAAAGCTTTCCTTTCGGGGAATCCCCAAAACGTCCAATTCCTTCTAGGGACTCCCGTCAAGATGAATTCATGCAACTCCTTCGTTAAAAACGAAAACACACCCTATGACCGGTTCCTTTTTGGACCTGGAAAACGCCACAGGAGCCGCCTTTCAGGACCCAAAAAGGCCCCTAATTCTGACAACCCGCGTGTGGCTAGTTGATCAGCTCAGCACGATTCGCGTAGCATAGCAAGTGGCCCTACCCACATTTTTCCACCTGAGCATCTGAGCCTGAGCATCTGAGCATGAAGCCTCTTCGCTCAAGGCTTGTGCAAACTCTGGGCACAGTTCTCGCGTTGCGCAAGGGAATCGGGAAACCGGCGGCCGACCAGTACTTGCCGCCACTCCCAGCAAGCAAAGACCAGCAAAGCAATGCCAGGCAAGACAAGTCAAGGCAAAGCAAGGCAACGCAAAGCGAGGCAAGCAAGGCAAGCAAACGAGCAGAGAGCAAAGCAAGCAACCATTCACCAAGTCACCAAGCAAGCATCATCAAGCCAAGCCGGGGTTCTCAAAATGTCTCTTCGAGCGGTTTCAACATAGTTTCGTGGTATATTAGAAGGGAACGGCCCATTTTGGGGCTGCCCATTTTGGGGCTGCCCATTTTGAGAAACACCTATGTGCCCATTTTGAGAAACGCTAAACACCCGGCCAAGCCATCGACTTCATGCTCGTTTGCGGAAATTTAACCTTTCCGTATGCAGAAAGATACGAAAGCGGTTCTTCTTTAGAGAAACCAAGAGGAAACCAAAAGTAAACCCACCAACCAGTTTGGGGGACTTCTTGGGTTGTCTGGTGAGGAAAGGAGTGTCTTTTTCCCCAACAGCTGAAAGCTTTGGGGTCTCAGCAGATAGGCTCCGGGGTGGAAATGTGGTGGAACCCTCGTGGAACCTCACCAGGTTACAAGAGGGTTCCACGAGGTTCTGCGAGGGCTGCGGGGTGGTGCGTTTTTTTGAAAACCACCAAAACATACAGTCTGTGGTTATCTGAACAGTTTGGGGTGTCCCTTTAAAAACAAAAAACAGAACCACCCTCAACAAAACAAACCGATATCTCGCCCGAGGGGCGAAAATGAAGCCGCGTCCGGGCCGGGAGCCCACGAAGACGTGCAGCGCCAGCGAGGAGCGGCGAGTGTTCACGCTGTGCCCCGCCTGGAGCAAAACTTGCTGGTTTATAGCAAACGAAACGTGAAAAACTGGAAACAGATTGGACGAAAATTGGAACAATGAGAAATGTTAGAACCAAAAACGACTAATGGAAAAACGAGGGAGGATGGGAAAGCATAGAGGGAAAGAAAATACGGATGGAGGGAGACAGGAGCAAGAATGACAGGCGAAAGGAAAAGAGAGCGAAATGCCAAGTCTTAGATTTCCCTTCCCATCCAAGGTGCCATAAAACCTAACAGGGGGACGCTCTAAGAAGAGATTGGTGCTCCAACAATTCAAGACCTCCCACCCAGATAGCACCTGTGAGCCGGAGATACGAAGCCCAACAAGTAAGAAACACCTTTCTTGAGCCCGTTCTACACCCTACCCAGAACGGCCCGAAAGCCTTAGGGGCGCGCGGCGGCAGCTGGCGCTCTTTTGTCGCTACACTTGACAGTGTCGCTTGCTGACGCAATTTGTGTCCTGCTGATACAACTTGCTCGCCATACTTGCTAGCGCCGCTTGTCACCTCGCTGATCCAAACTGCTAGTGCAAGTTGATAGAGCAACTTCTTGCACAAGTTACCTGAGCCACTTTCTGCGACAGCTGCTCAAGGAAGCTCTCTCAGTAAGCTTCTGTGAACAAGCTTCTATGAGCAAGTTCTCTGAGCAGGTTGTCTGCGTGCAGCGCTGACCACAACAAAGCAACCTTTCGACACGCGTGCAGTTGTCGATCCGGACCTAACTACTTTCGGGTGATCTTCGGAAAGCGTACTTCCTGTACTATTTTCGTAGCTCTACTCACGTTGCTCCTGCCGTACTACTTTCCAGCCAGGGCTGCAAAAGTGCGCTTTGCTAAACACTTTCGCACTACTGGCTTTCAGCCTGGGGCCCCTTGCTTCCAAGAGCCGACGCGGAAACCACGAGACATATTTTCAAGTCCGCGTTCCGACTGCAAAAATTAGCGCCCCGCGGGCGGTCGCACACGCTCTGCAAAAAAATGAAAACAATTTTCGCAGAAATCGTAACAACCACGCCAATCCCTGCAGAGGGTCGCGCGAGCATCGCAGAAATCGCAAGAAGTCCTCAGCATTTTGGACATCGATCGCGTTGATCGCGCGAGCACCACAAAAAGCCGAATAAGACCTCAGTTGTTTGACATCGACTATATTGATCTCCGCAGACGGTCGACTTTTTGATCGCAAAGTTGGCGCAGGCCCGCCGCTTTCAAAGACTAATTCAGGCTCGTGCGAATTCATAAGAGCATTGGCTCTTATATTGATCTAGTGTGGTACAAATCTCTTGTGTAACTTGCTGCTGTAGCTTGCTAAAGCGACCTATTATGTAACCTGCCAATGCAAGTTGCTTGTGCCACCTGCATGCAACTTTCTAGCGCCGCTCGCTGGTCCTGCTTGCTAGTGCTGCTGGCTAGTGCGTTTTGCTAGTGCTGTCTTGCTACTGCTGCTAGCTAGTGCATCTTGCTATGCAACTCGCTAGTGTCACTTGCTACTGCAACTTGCTAGGGCAGCTCGCTAGTGCTACTTGCTAATGCAACTTGCTAGTGCAACTCGCCAGCGCTACTTGTTAGTGCAACCTGCTAGTGCAACTCACCAGTGCTACTTGTTTTAGCAACTTGCTAGTGCAACTCGCTAGCACTACTTGCCAATGCAACTGGCTAATGCAACTCGCACGGGCTACTTACTATTGCAACTTGCTTGTGCTACTTGCTGGTGCAATCCACTCCCGATCTTTCGCGAAGAACGCTTCGCAATGCTTTTAGCAAAAAGGAACACGCGAAAACACACAAAAGTTGCCAAACAGATCGACCTGTCCACGACGCCCCGCCTGCTCCCCGGTTCCCCTCCGGGGCCCCCGGCCTTCCATGCCACCAGGTAGGTGACGCCCGCCGCCAAAGCCAAACTACCCAGGAGGCTGGCAATCCAGAGGAGGGCGTTGAAGCCCTGCCGTGCAAGACGTATGGAACAATCTGGGCAAAAACACACGCCAAAACAACATGCGAGGGATCCAAAATATAAGGCAAGGATAGAGTTTGAAGATAAACATGTAAGCCAAGGATAGAAGCTTGTGGCTGGGCCTTGCAGAATCATCCACTTAAAAGAACAAACATATCGGAGACCTCAAAAGGGTCATTGGCTCGGATTGCCTCGTCATAGGGAATGCCCTTCTCGTCCCGTGTCTTCTCCTCCTGCAGCCTTCTGCCCTGCCGAAGCAACGGGACGCGGAGCAAAATTCGGAATCTCCAACACTTGGCCCCACCGTGGGCTGCCCTAAACATATTTGCAGGTGATGTTTCATATTTTGTGCTCCTTCAAATATACCACCTTTTCTGAGGAGGCACCCAAAAGATGTGGCCGCCCCTGCAGAATGTGTTGACCTGTCCAAGATGGCGCAATATCCCTTGATTATTTTTTGTTTATTAAACGACCAAGGACCATGTCAAGCCGCAAAGCCCCGGTTTGTTGTTCGGAGTCAGGGTAAGGTTCTGGCCCAGGGTCCTTAGTGGCCCCGAAAAACTGTACCACAGTCACGCTCTGAATCAGTATGTGAGGCGTGGTCGATAGTAATCGTGCCCCAACTGACATGGCTTTGGTGAGTAACCCCAATGTCTATGTTGGTTGGGCTTGTGTGACCCACGTCATCCCCCTTTTTGCATGACACAATGACATATATTGGCCGTTGCTCATATGCGCCATAGTGCTTGCTCTTGGAGGAATCCTCATCATGGCTGTCTGGATTCCTATAAAGGGGTCCATGACCATCCCCAACCAAAAAAGGCGGCCCGGAACCTGGGGCCCGGACGGTCACAACCTGCAGCGCGTCGCAGTGCTTCACAGCTGCCTGCGAGATGGGCCAGACTGGCGGACCTAAGGGTCAGAGGTCAGAAGTTGCTTCCCTTTAAGCTACCAGGGTAGCAACGGGGCTGAAAAGAAGCCAAAAAGCTGAAGGAGGTCCATGTGTTGAATGAGCTATCGCAAGTCTGCTGAGCCGACATGTACCAGGGGCAAAACTCCGAATTTGTGGGTCATGGTCATGCTTTCCTTAGCAGACACCCGTACCATGCTTGTCTAAACTCCCGACAGGCCATGACCATCCCTACTAACCACAAGTAAATGACACCATACACGTGGGAATAACCAGTGCAGAGACAAAGGGATTGTCAACCAACACGCATGTTGCTCTGTGCCCTTTTCCGCGCAAGAGAGAGAGAGAGAGACAAAGAGCTAGGCAAAAGAACGTCCTATCGGAAGCGCCCACTGTGTTCCGTCCGACATACTCTCTGAAAACCCATGATGTTCAGTGACTCCAGGAATGTCAACACCGCTGTCCTTGTGAAGGAAGCTCAGCAAATCAGTAGCGTTCCCGGGGTGCGCCAAGTGCTCTCCAAGCCTGCCGTTCATCTGACGAGGCCGACATGTGTGCCACGGTTGAAAAGCCTCAAGTTCGGGGCATCAGATCTCCTTTGCTTTCTGACTGCTTATCACGACACATTTCTGATCCGGATCCAAGATATGACACACCGTCTTAAATGCGAAACAAGCTTCTGTCTTCGCAAGAAGAAACAGCATTCAAAAAGAACCGTATTCTGCGAGCGGACTTCTGGCACAGCCGTCAAACAGAAAAGAAAGCTCTTCCTGCTGTCTGCCACAGCAAAGAGTCAAACGATATTGTGATGTACGTGCCAACTCTGGAAGCAAAGGCACGATGATGTGATCGTCGCACAACATGTCAACTCTAAAAGCCTGCTTTTTGCAGGCCTCACATCAACTACAACGTGCTCCGCTCAAGTGCCTCAAGATACCTCATGCCGCGCCTAGACCCGAAGACGCAAAGCTTTGGGTAGAGCTTGCACATCTCCTGCCGGATCGAGCTTGAAAACCAGGGAGAAGTTCCTTCTCAGATTCTCAGTCATCGCGGGCGCTGGAAGCGTTGGCTCTTGGACCAAGCGTCTGACATTAAAACAAATCACTGGCCTATTGGCGTCTCAAGAATCCCGTCGCCGCTCGATTGAACTGCGGCAAACAAAAGCTGCAAAACACAAAGACGCCTGGAGCTATCCCCCGGCCCCGAATCCCAAATTCTGTCCGTCGCCGGACTTACATCACATACGCTTATTCCAAAACGCCTGGCACCAGAACTGAAAAATTGTCCCGGAACGGGAACTCGGGAACCCAATTGGATTTGATCAACTGCTCGGAGCCGCAACCCTTTGCCATCCCACATGGTCCGTAGGCTTTGTGCACGGTTCCGAGATTTTTGCAACGGTGCCAAAACGTGGAATCGCGAAGAACTGGACCTCGTTGCCGATTCAGCCGAAAGAAGGAGGGTATTCACCAGCATATGCTTCGCCAGAGGAAACCCCGAGAACACCGTGCAAGAGCTCGGGCAGCTCCCGGTCCATCACTGGGTCAACAACGGCAGCGCTGAATGGAAGCGGGTTGACAGTTGCCAGCATTTTGATGTTGTCATGAATCTTTAAAGGAAGCCGGGAAGCTCTACTGTTGCAGGCTCACTAGTCTCCCTTCCGGGGTTGCAACTGGTCTTTTGGCTTTCGTGGTTGCAGCATCAAAGAAGTGCAGACGAATGCAACAACTCACTCGGCGACCAAGTCCATGATCAAGACTCCTCATGGTCAAAACTCCGGATCTGCAGGCCATGGTCATGGTTCCCTTGGTGAAGGTCCCCTATCATGGTTGTCCAAAAATCCCAAACAAGAGATCCATGACCGCCCCCAACATTCCCAAGGGTGGTCTGACCATGGTACGTGTACTTGGCAACAGCCGCTAACTTCTGGTTGCCATGCAATGATATTCGTCCGAGATTCCTTTTGAAGGGTTGATAGCGCAATCGTAAGTATTTATGTGAGCCATGGTGAAACTTGTTTCTTTTAAAGAACATGGGGCCATTAGTGAATCCTCTAGTTATGTGGGCAATTACATTCCGTGAGTCCCTCGTCCCTGCATGCCCCTTCCAAATGTGCGAACCTCACGTAAAATAGATGTCTCATGCAGATCTCGATGTTTAAGAGTATGCAGCTTGTGGCCCAGGCGTCCTCGCAGTCAATATGCATGAGAGACAACTACAACCACCCGCCATGCCATGGCGGCGCAGAAAGCGCGTCTCCCATCCATCCCGACTCCTCCACCACGTCCACTTTCGGCGCAGATCCCAAGGTCACGTAGAGAGCACCTCGCAGAGACAAAGGACGACGCCAGGATTCCCCGAAGTTCCTCTTCAGGCAATCCCCCCCAAGGGAGACTCACCTCCGCGCCAAAAGGGTTTGTAAAACCACCCAGAAGATAAATTTTGGATAATGTAGGGACGGACCAAAGAGGGTCGCTCCAAAGATCCAGAAAATCGGCCGAAGGGCGATTGGAAACTAAAGGAAACCAAACCTATCTCCACCCTTTGGGGTTTGGCCTTGGAACGGGTCACCACTAAACGATCCAATCAAACGGACTTTTCCATGCGCTTTGTTTGGAAGTATGTAGGGTAAAAAACGCTTGTACCACGGGTATAGTGTATAAACATCCGTACCTCCGAAATCCAATGAAACTGCCCTCGACAAATGGCTGTCTGATAAGGTCAAGAATGACTCACAACGGAAGATCCCAAGGCGCATCAGCCCTCAAATGGCGAACTTAGATGTTCAACCCCTTAGTAGGTTATAACCATGGATATATCTCTGGTTAGGCTTAGCCCGCTTATCATGTTCATAATATGCTTAGGTGGTTTGAACATCCAAGTGCCGTTTTCGCAGCGTGGCCACCCGCTTGCATCGAGCATGACCCCCTACCCTTCCTCCCCCCAGAAAGAAAAAAGAAAGAAAGAAAGAAAGAAAGAAAGAAAGAAAGACATAAGAAAGAACCAACAAACACGATTTCCGCTTTGGTCTAACTAGTGGAAAGGGCCATGTGTCCAAAGGCCCGCTCGTTCTGGACCCACCCATTTTGAGAGGCTCTAGGCACGCTGGTCAAAGGGACCCCATGATGATTCAAAGGGAAGCCGACTAGGGTAGGATCTCTTCTTTTCAGTGTGACGCCCGATTTGTCTGGACTTATTCTGAGCATCCGGCCTGGGCCTTGCTTCACGGCCTCCAGGGAGGTCACCGCCAGGGTCTGGAAGGGCGTCAGCCTAGCGAGGGAACCTACCAGCTGAGCCATAACCAGAACCTTGAAAACCCGTCATCCAACTACTGCAAAGAATTTAAAGCGGTGGCCGCTACCCCCTGTCCCCCACTAATCTTCTACCCGAGTGTTGATTGTGGCTCAGCTGGGAACTCCAAAATTTGAATCCTGACATTGGTGGCTTCCCTTCAAAACGAAGCCCGCAAAGGGGTGCCCTCAAAAAAAGCACGCTCGTGCTGATTTGAAACGCACCTTACAGTGGATTCCATGTTGATAGGCGAGAGGTAAATAGTGATTCACGGATTCACATAGGCGGACAGTCATCCTTGAGTTGCCCTCTCAAAACCGCCATAGTTGAGCATAATTGGCTGAACGGGTTCATTGCCGGAACATGTCGGAACTCAGGACAAATCACTACCAAGGCGGACTGAACTTAGTGTTTAGCCCAGGTTTAGGTTTACCTGGGTTTGTTACAAAATGGAACCCTGATTCAGTCAGGCCGCAGAGTACAAAAAATGCTCGGCGGCACCAAGATGTCCGCAGTGTCGATCCTCAGCCACTTGCTTCAAATTTGCTTCCTCCATATGCAGCTGCCATGTTTCAAGGTGTGAGGGTGTGTTTGCAAGGTATGCCATTGTTTGGTTTTGGGCAGCATCGTCCGAGTGAGTGGCCACCTTGAGCCAGCCCAGCGCAAACAACCGGTTTTAGCCCCCCACCCCCGACGCATCCTTTCAGGGTGCCCATCAATTTGTCCCATCAACCTTGAAGTTTAGTCCTTCCTTGTACAGCAGGAGCAACCCTGCTTGACCATTTGCCAAGGGAGAAAGGGGGCAAGGCAAAGCATGCAACACTTGCGTCGCTGATGTTCCTTTCTCATGAACGCACTTGCGGCGATTCTAAACACATAGGAATTTAAAGGGCACCACGGAACAACTGGCCAACCCAAAAGAAACGCACCCTCACCCCCCAACAAAAAAAAAAAACACGGGCCCCAAGCAGACCCGAAAACAAAACAAAAAACCGGGCAACCCAACAACATCTATAAGGAGAAAAACACGGCGCCGCCACCCGTGCCTTTGTTTGTTTTCTCCCAAGCGGCGTGTCAACGCTGACATTGAGGCTGGCTTGCAGCGAGCCGCAGGGCATCTGCACCTGCACTGGTGATCTCACCATTGGGAGCTAACCCAACCCTTGCAAATGTGCTTGCAAGCTACGTGGACTAAACATCCAAGGCAAAGCAAGTTTGCAAACCAACCAGAAACAGGAAACTTGGGATGAATATTTGGGATTCTTGAAAGATCTGAGGTGCCAGGACACTCAGTGACATGAGACCTTAAATCTATCTGCAAGTTCTGCGGCACATTCAAAACCCGAAATAAGGGACCCCCGAGTAAAGGACCAACAGTGAGTTCGCTTCATTTTGAGGCGAGCTCGAAATTCACAGAATAGGTAGAAGAATGCAGATTTGGGCATACTGGGAGAATTCACAAGAAGGAAGATGGAATCTCCAAATAAGGAGCCCTCATCCTGGACGTAGACTGCCCAAGTCAGGCCCACCATGGTAAGGGAAGTTGCCTCAGTTACAACCACCAACTGGCTTGAAGATCCAATGCATGTGATGCGTGACATGGTGACAGGGATGATGATGACGATCATGACTGTTCTTACTGTGATGGTGGATGTGGATGTGGATGTGGATGAGGAAAAGGAGGGTGGAAACCAGCTCCTTCACATGCTAAAAGCTGAGCGCGCTGAAAAGTCCCAACGATGGCTGCTGCGGGCTCAAGTCTAACGAATCGCACCTAAGATCATGCCGGCGAGCATCGACGGTGCGTGTGGGGGCTGGGGACAAGCCACCATATGTCTGCCCTCCTCATGCCTACACATATAGCTTAATATAGCTCCTGTTTGCGGGGATGACTCTCAGCGAACAAACGCCAAGGGAAGTTTGTGAAATGGTAAGTTGGCAAGAAATCAAAGAAACCAACATCCAAACAAATAAACAAAAAACAAACATCCAAAAAACAAACGAACCGATATCCCTGAAGCAAGTTCGCCTCGACCCACAGGGCCCGGAAGCAGTCAGATCGCTCTTTAGATCCGCCCCAAGGCCCGAAATGAAGCCCCAGCGCCAAGCGCCGGCTGGGGGCAATCAAGGCACGCAGGCGACCCATGAGTGTGTCCAGCCCCAGCACTCTCTGGCCGGCTGCAAGCCGCTTGCCCTTCCCCTCAGCGTTGGCGCTTTGCCGGCTGTAGCTCCAAGTGGCGGCGCTCCCTTGCCCTCAGGAGCCGGCGACAGCCACGCCATGCGTCGCCACACAATCATCTGTGTGGAACTTTAGGAATTCCCTTAGCCCCGGCCCCCTGCGCTTGGACTACGGCAGTGGCTGTGCTTCAGTGCCCAGCCCATGTTTTCACGCAGCTGATACTTTCACGCATGGCCAGGCATGAGCCTCGTTTCTTGCCAGCTGCCAAAACAAATAACCCTGACCGAAGCGGGCAGCGCGGAGAGTTTACAATACAAAACCACCACAAACAAAAACAAATAAACAAACATCCCTA